AGAGAGCTTAGTAATCAGTTATTTGTTTATGTCAGATTGTGAAATCTAAGGAGAGAAAATCCCAATGCTTGTGTTATGTAAAGAAAGCACTCTTCCTGAATCCAGTTAGTCTTTGCTGCAATTATTTGACCCCAGCTGTGTTAAGCCATCGCCCACTGTCGACTGGGAAGAGGAAATGTCAAATGTTGAAGCTTATGAAGAAATACCGACACCTTTGGCATTGAAACCTGTGCATAACAGCGGTACAAAGTTTACGTTCAGTGAAAGTGACCCATGGCAAAAGGAGGGAGAAGTTTTCAAGCTAGTGAAAGAGCTTTCTGTGACCTTTTTGGTGGACACTGTTGTCAGCACTATGGACATGTTGCACACTTTTGAAAAAGCCAGCTTTAATGTTCACGACATTTCCTCCATCCAGTGCAAAGCTTCTGAGAAGTCCTGGGTTGTTTCCATTCGCAAGACCAAAATTAAGGAGTATGCAATGGAGTTGCCCTTTATTTCTATCGCTGGAGTTGACATGTTTCTTGGAGATGCTGTGAACCACACCGTTTTGGTTTAAAGATACAAAGCGCCACAAGAAATGCCTGACTCCATTGTTATTGGGCGCTTGTCGGCTTACGGCAAGGTTTTGTCCTTTCGGCATGATCTTCTTATGTCTGGCATTGAAAATGGCATTTGTACTGCACAGATACGCATCACTCGCCTACTTGTGATGTCGGAAAATAACCAAGATTGTGGTACGAGTAATTCTGTTGCTATGGAAATTGCTGCTTCTGACACTATTGTTTTTGATGCTCTTGTTTCTGATGCTATATTCCTGTTGTCAATGCCCCTGGGAGTGGCGCTATTGGGAATGATGTCCCTGATGGAAATGTTTATGTGAATACTGGTTCTCAACCGAATGGTGCAGTCACTGGTTCTGACTCTGGTCTAAATGAAGTTTGTTCAAATAATGTCAATGAAGTTCGTCCAAATGCTGTTAATGGTGACTCATGCATCGAGGGCTCCTAGAACAGCTGGTTCTGTTTCTAATCCTCCACAAGTTTGGCATCCTTCTACGCCAGGTGTAAATGAGATGCCAAAACACCCTAGATCAGCATTGTTTATGCCGTCACGCTTCACATTGGTGAGATCTGTCTTTGATGCTCTCAATATAGCGAGCATCAATTCCCCTGAGGTCTAATGTCCTCAGCTTAAAACGAACAGCAAAGTTGTCATCACGTTCAGAGATTTTTAAGTCTTAACGTGATTAGTAGCGACAACCAGAGTTATGCGATCCAAGATATTGACCGACCTTTCACCTTCCTTACTGTATATGATGCGCCCTTTGAGCTTAGCGACTGGGCAATTATCAAGCGCCTTGCACCCTTTTGTGAGGTGATTAATTATTGCCACGGCAGATTCAATTTTGCACCTGGTGTGTACAATGGTCTGCGTCATTATAGAGTGTGTCATCAAACCAGTTCCCAGTTTTCTCCAGTTTCCAAAATACCAAGTGTTCCTCCAATATGCTGGCTAGCTCCCTACAAGCTGTAAATGCAATTGGTCTGGTCATTTCGGCAGTGTGTGAGATTACAAAATCTGTTTTAACTGTGAGGCATCGGCCATGAAGCTAACGATTGTCCAGCTCCACCCCTGTGCAATTTCTGCAAGTAAGATGGACATCTTAGCCAAGACTGCAGATATTCTTGGGTCTCACCTATTGTTTATGAAGAGTCCACGGACAAGTCCACTCATGTTGACATCAATGACGCTGGCTCACATTAGTGAGGCGTCTTTAAAAACACATGTGACCCTCCACAGGAAAACAGGGATAAAGGTGATAGCATGCTCACAACACGCTTCCACTTGGAAATA